AACCTCTCCAGTGCTGGGCCTAGACCGTCTAGAGTTGCCGCAAATGTGGTACATGTGGTCCCCAACGTATTGCCTCTTCCGGCAAGAGTGACGTCACTGACATGTTTGTTGATCCAAAAATAAGCAACGATCTTTTTCAGAGTATACTTTCATGTAGTGTGGATAGCTGAAGTGACGGTTCTGTGCAATTGTCGACATATTGCCTCAAGGGCGCCGACGAAATTTCTCCTAGTTTCCATGCCGACTCGTGTGTGGTATTTCGATAGTGTGTATCCCGTAACGGATGTTTTTGGTGACTGATCCCGCCGCCATCAATGCCGCCCGACTTTATGTTTACCCTCGCCACTCTACCTTTCTATCGACAGGGTGGAGCACATGTACGAGAGCTACTCGCCGAAGCGCACGGTCGGCGACGGTTTCGACTCTCCCAGCGTGGTTCTGGGCGGTTCGAGCGGCGGCGAGTCGGACGCGCCGGGCGGCCGCTCGCTCAAACAGCAGGTGATGTCGCGACTGGCGCACGGCCGGCGGGTGCTGCTGTCCATCACCAAACTGGGCAAACAGCCGGCCGAACCGCGGCCGCTGCGGCGGCTCGAGATCTCCTCTCCCTGTTCGGCCGTGGAGCCGGTGCGCGCCCGCTCCGAGCTGTCATCCCCTCAGCCGAGCCGCGGCGCCGCCAGCCCGGTCGGCTCGGTCGGCAGCGGCGTCTCGCGGTCCGCCAGCTTCCGTCGGCCGACCAAGCCGTGCACGCCTCCGCCGCCTCCTCCCGTCCAGGCGGCCGTGGTGCCCATCCGCACGAGCGCGGCGCACGCGCCGTCGGTGCGCAGCTCCAGTCAGTACGCGGCGCCGGCCGCGCCGCCGTCCCCGCCGCCGCCGACGGCCGGGGCGCGCGCGCAGCCGACGCCGCCTCAGCTGAAGCGCGTGGCACCGCCGGTGGTACCGCCGCGCCGCGACTCGCTGACGCCCGAGCGAGAGCCGCCGGGCGCGCGGCCGCCCGGGGACGGCAGCGAACTGGCCCCGCAGGTGGATGAGACCAGGGCGTCACCGCCACGGCTATTCGCACAGCAAAAGTACGAGCCGGAGCCGGAGTCTGACTCTGAACCAGAGCCGGAGCCGGAATGGAAACTTCGCCAGCCGGAGCCGGAGCCGGAATGGAAACTCCGCCAATCGGAGCCGGAGCCAGAGTGGAAACTCCGCCAGCCGGAGCCGGAGCCAGAGTGGCAGCTCCGCCAGCCGGAGCCGGAGCCGGAGCCTGAACCGCAGGAGGACCCGGAACCAGAGCCGTTCACCAGCGTGCTTCAGGAGCCTACCAAGGTGAGATTATTGAGAATTTACTTTAGTTACTTTGGATAATGACCATGAGGGTTTAGTAATGACTTTATCCATGTTTCCTTGCTTTGTGGCGTTCTGCTATTGGCAAGATCTGTTGATGTCTGAGGTCGGTGATATTTTATGACCGTGAGGGCTTGGGCATTGCTTAAAGCGATTTTCTAGTGTATTCTGCAAACAAATAAGGTGCCGTCAAACCATATCCTCGATTGTTATCACGGGGAGGCTATATTCGGCAAACCTGGCGCTCAACGTTACCGAGTTATCGCCCACGCAGAGGCGAAGAAGGCTATGTAATATCCGCATACCTGTTTTGCTGAATGTCCTTTTTACTGCCATAATCGGATCGAGACTTGGGGAAATAATGGGGCATTAGAGGGTCACAAAAGTTCTACTGCCTAGCAGTCACTACTCTAAATACTCCCATTGTTTGAAGTTGGTTTGGATTACACTGCGTCGAATCTGCGCCCTCAGTACTCGAACTCGAAGGCGGGGTAGGCGTGGTAGCGGCCGTTGCAGGCGATGTCAGCCCAGCCGTAGCCGGCGGCGGCGAAGTTGGCCCAGGTGGCGCAGTTGTCGGTCTCGTTGCGCCCGTTGGGCTCCTGCAGCAGGCCGCGCCGCGCCCAGGCCGTGTAGTTGAGGGGCTCGCCGCTCTGCCAGCGCCAGCTATCGATACCCCGTCCGCGCAGCCCGAGCCAGACCAGCTGGGCGGCCGGCGGCAGCCAGTCGCGCACCCGGCGCCCCTCGGCTGCGCTGGTGATGGTCAGCAGGTGGACGAAGCGGCGCGGCTGCAGGGCGGCACCCACCCGGCGGCCCAGGTACGCCGCCCGGCTCCACGACATGGTGACCCGGTCGGCTCGCGGCAGTAGGTAGCAGTGACGTCGGCCGGCCGGGTCCCGCCAGCGCCGCCACCCGCGCGGGCACATGGCACAGCGCTGCGTGGCTGGGTCGTACTGGAGACCGCCGGCGCAGTGACAGACGCCGCGCGGACCGCAGCGCGCACCGGGAGTGCCGGCGCAGTCCCACGGCCGCCGGCAGATGCAGCCCACCTGACCGTAGCGGCAGAGCTCGCAGAGGTGGGGCTGCGAGCGTCGGCAGTCTGTTGTGGCTCTCCAGCGACCGCGGGGTGACAGCGTCACACACTGCTGGCCTCTGCCGGAGGGTGGCCGCCACGCGCGGGGCTGGTAGTCGGTCCGACGCCGCGAGTTCACCCAGCGAAAGTCTCGCCAGCCGGTCAGACGATAGAACGCGAGCCAGGCGGAAGACACACCGGCCGTCCGCACCAGGCGCGCAGCCAGTCGGTTCTCCAGCTCTTTGAGCGGTCGGAACGGCGTGGCGGCGTGGTGTAAACCTCGGCAGGCCATCCGAGATGAAAACGCCGACCGGCGGATATGACGGGAGACGCGCAGACATTTACCAGGCAGCGGCCACCAGCCACGGGGACAGGGCGGCCGGCCGGCGGACAGTACCACCAGGGTCCCCAGTAGACCGAGCAGCAGCGGGCGGAGGGCGCCGGACATGGCGAGCGACTGAGGCGAGCAGTGGCGCGGCGGTGGCGTGGCGGGGCAAAGAAAGACGTCCGGACGGTTCCCGTGATTGATGGAATAATAGAACCTCATTGACGCGCCCGGGCGACTTCTCAAGGCCGTGGGGTGGAGGTCGGGCGAGCCTTGTTTTTGCTCAAGGGCAAGTTCAGGTTCTTTCGAAATAACGGGCTGTCAAGATTATGAGTCAGTGCTTGCGTCTGCTACAGGGATGGAGAATAGCAAGCGTAGACTTGGTGGAATGGTCTTACAATGCAATAGGCGTATATCGGTTTTTACTTACACACCCACTCGCCATCCATGATTGGCCAATGAATGATCGATGTTTATCTTTGCTCTCAGGTGGACATCAAGACCGGTTTCGACTTCCTAGACAACTGGTAACATCCTCACCAGAAGTCTTAACGACCTGGCGGTCCTGTCAGACCTTACATCTGACTGATTCGTGTGGAACAAGCACTGCCGCGCCCTCTGTGCCATAGAACCAGCGGTCGGGTGGGAAGCCAGCCGGCCGATTTCAGGCCTCGCTGGCTCTCACGGGTCGAGGTGTGTGAACGAATACTGCCCGTGTGGTGTCGCTGCTGCATATGCAGCGCTTTCAAAGTCTCTCGGCTCAGTAGGTAGACTGAGAAGGAACGAAGTGCGAGCTTTTGTTTGGTGCTGACTGCGTTTTTTCCTGATGCGTGTCTAGAGTGGTGTGTCATCTTGGTGTTTCATGTTTGCATATCGAGTCATTCGCTGTGTTTTTACACTGGGCGTTCTGTAGTATAGGCATAATCTCGTAGTTGCTTGGTCTGCGAGAAGCAGCTAAGCGTTGAGTGTTGTAGTCACGAGTTGGGGCGTCTCCCGGGTGTGGCGCGGTAGGGGCAGACCGACTGCAGCCCGCCCAGTCAACTCTGGCAGCCTTGTGTGGAATCTCAGTCGGCTGACGGTCAGGTGCGCCGCCCGGTCTTCGTGTCGTGCCGTGTGTGCGTGTCGTGGGTGTGTCGATGAGTGATCACTTGCACGTCTCTGTACAGATCACAGCCTGTGGGCTGCTGTGGCCTTCTCTCTGACGCTATAGAGCGCCTGGCTCATGTACTAACTCCGCTGCGGGAGAGGGCGATGTGATTAGTCGGCTGGAGAGTGACTCGAACCAGAGAGGAGGCTGAAAGTGGCGAGTGAAGAGGGCATTCTGTCCGCTCCCCGCGCGGGCGGCGGAATAATCAACTGCGCCAACGGTCTAGTCATTGAGCTTGTGCGGGGATGACCGCGGCGCGAGGGGTCGGTCGGACGGTCCAGAAGGGGACCAGGGCCGGCACCCTTCCTCCGGACCTAGTCCGGTACGAGGCTGGAGAGAGGCACCGCCACGGGACGGCGGGTGCCGGAGAGCCGATATTTTGGTTACTTTTGTACATTTGTCACAGACGGTTCACAAATATACGTTTGACAGGTTCGTCCCGTCTGTTCGTTACGGCACCGTCATTCAACGAATGGGATACGCCTAGGAAGGTACGCCACGAACTGAGTCCGAGTCAGCTTCATTTGGTAGTGACATTTGCTGCCACAAGATTAAACCACGGGCCAATAACCCAGTCGAGGGAATATCTACCATCATACTAGCCGGGTAGCCTGAATGGATGTCATGTGAGAAACAGTCACAGGTGGGAGACAGGACGAGCGTGTCGCTGGTCTCATGACCGACTAGTCCCTAGCGGCCAGTCACTACTCATCTTCAGGCTACTCAGTCGTCATCGGGTCACTGGAGACCCTTTATGATTATCAGCAGATCAAGAGCACTTGTGACCACGCCACCTCCCACCAAAGAACTAAACGAAGCACGCTTCCCCGTAAAAATACGCCCGGACATTGCGTCCGATTGGCGATCCTCCTCAATTTTTCCAATGTTAGATGCTCAACCACTGTCGACGGTCAGCTGCTACTCCTCGCCCCCTTTCTTCCCACCAAAGAAGACGTACCAGTGAAAAGGTGTGCTAGTTTTACCTGAGACACTGCTAACACGGCTATCTGTTTCTAAGTCCCAGGTTATGAGTAAACACCCGTCTCTAGTAGGTACCCTGTCATCTCCGGTAAAAAAGCTGAACCTCCAAATTATGCATAGAAATCCACTAACATTAGGTACACGACACATTATAATTGATCTAGTTTGTATTCGACCCTTTTCGTCGTTACCGGTACACCCTTTTGAAGGCATTATTTAAATGTCAACAGACAACAAATCAGAAAATACGATGCATACGCCCTCTACCACACACATGGATGCTGCATGGCCTACGAAACGATGTAAAATCGTGCATATTAATCAGCACACGTTCGGAGAGCCCATCGCTCCAAACAGGCATCAACATACATCGCACCGTCCATGCGCACCAAAACCTCAGTCCAGGTATATAAAACACTACCTCAATGAGCGGATGCTGAACAGAGGGTTTTCAGTCCACCTGGTGGCATATCCCAATACTTATAGTTGTTGCTGCTGAGATGGGTACAGAAGGTGGCGCTGAGGCCAAATCGTGCATTCGGAGCTGGGAGCACGGTGCACAGATGCTTTCCGGGCGAGATACCGAGCATCGTCAATGCTTTATTTCATTCCGTTCAGTTGGTTCCACATTGTTCTGTAGCGTGTTGTCATAAAACTCAGACGAGGCCCATGAATTGTACGCAAAATGTTGCATTGTACGGAAGTATAACAGATGTGGCAGTGCGTGCCGTAAACTGCACTGCGGTCATTTCCTTGCCGATAGAAAACAGGTTTTAGTGCTGATTCATCTTGTCAGCTGCTTGCTTGTGATTTTTGCTTTTTCTTTTTCCTTCTCTCTGATGTAGAAACGACGGTACTACCGTCTTCAGCGATTGATTCATCCACCGCATCTAGATCTGGCTTCTTTCGCTTCTTCTTTTTCTTTTCAGATTTTAAACAACCTACCACAGCGCTGCCTAGGTCATCATTATCCAGGATAGCAGAAGTTGGATCCTCTCCTACATCAGCCTTCCTCTTTTTCTTCTTTCTCTTAGTCACGTCTTCGTCGGCGGGTTTCTGGCCCGTCAGTCTGGCCAGGATGGCGGCCTCCTGGGCCACGATCCTGGCCAGCTTTCCGTCCATCTTGTGGCCGTGCCGGGCGCCCTTGTGCGCCGTCCGGCCGCCGCACGCCGCCAACAGCTGTTCGTCACTGAGGCGCGACTCAACTGGCGCCGCCTCCTCAGGACCCTCACCATCAGCCTCGCCACCGCCGGTCACACTGCTACCCACCAGCGTGCCACCAGTCACAAAGTTGCTGTATGCCGATTTGACCACCTTTTTCTTCTTCTTTTTCTTGGTGTTGCTAGTGGCCAGCTGGCAGCCATCCGAGGCCTCATTAACAGTGACATTTGCAGCAGCTGTGTTGTAGGCCTCACTCCACCAGGTATGCGTGAACTCCTTGGCCGGGTCATGACCAATGCCAGTTGTGTCAAACTTTAGCTTTGGCTTTAGAGCTTCTGCAATGCCATTTCGGCCTTTGCCCAGACCATCTCCCTCCTGCCACCCAAGCTGCTTCAGATGTTCTCTTGCAAAGTCCATTTCAGCTGCAGAAGGAGAGCAAAACTGTCAAAAACATTGAATCAATCTGGAATATTTAGACTGTCAGGTATCGGTAACCCTGGCGTCACCGGTAGCGTTTTCGTTCAAAGTTAAGGTTTCCTGTATTAGGCCGCCGTGCCAGGCCGAAGCATGCTGTGACGTCACTGGGTAAGAGAAGATAACGTATAGAGCGACTCAGCCAGACTCAAACTGACTCGACCGAATCAAACCGATTCAGATAGACTCAGACTGACTCAAATTAACTCATACCGACTCAACCGACTCAAATCGATCGACTCAAATCGATTCCGATCGACTCAGACAGACACAGGCAGACTCAGACCGATTCAGATCGACTCAGACCGACTCAGATAGACTCAGATAGACTCAGAACAACTCAAACTGACCCAGAACGACTCAACCGACTCAAATCGTTCCGATCAACTCAGACAGACTCAGAACGACTCAGACAGACTCAGGCAGACTCAAACCGACTCAGGCAGACTCAGACCGACTCCTCAGATAGACTCAGAACGACTCAAACTGACTCAGACCAACTCAACCGACTCAAATCGATTTCGATCAACTCAGACAGATTCAGAACGACTCAGGCAGACTCAAACCGACTTAGGCAGACTCAGACCGATTCAGATCGACTCAGATAGACTCAGAACGACTCAAACTGACTCAGACCTACTCAACCGACTCAAATCGATTCCGATCGACTCAGACAAACTCAGAACGACTCAGACAACCTCAGCCAGACTCAAACCGACTCAGGCACACTCAAACTGACTTGACCGACTCAAACCGATTCAGGTCAGATGATTCAGGTCAAACCGATGGGTCTGTCTAAGTCGGTCTAAATCGGTTTGAGTCGGCTTGAGTCTGCCTGAGTCTGTCTGAGTTGATCGGAATCGATTTAAGTCGGTTGATTCAGTCTGAGTCAGTTTGAGTTGTTCTGAGTCTAGCTGAGTCAGTCTGAGTCGATCTGAATCGGTTTGATTCGGTCGAGTTAGTTTGAGTCTGCCTGAGTCTGTTTGAGTTGTCCCGAGTCTATCGGAATTGATCGGAATCAATTTGCGTTGGTTGAGTCAATCTGAGTCAATTTGAGTCGTTCTGAGTCTAGCTGAGTCGGTCTAAGTCGATCCGAATCGTTTTGAGTCGGTCGAGTCAGTTTGAGTCTGCCTGAGTCGTTTTGAGTCGTTCTGAGTCTGTCTGAGCCGATCGGAATCAATTTGAGTCGGTTGAGTCGGTCTGAGTCAGTCTGAGTTGATCTGAGTCAGTCTGAGTCGATCTGAATCGGTCTGAGTTTGCCTGAGTCGGTTTGAGTCTGCCTGAATCTCTCTGAGTCGTTCTGAGTCGACTGGAACCGATTTGAGTCGGTCTGAGTTAGTTTGAGACGGTCTGAGTTGATCTGAATCAGTTTGAGTCGGTCGAGTGAGCTTGAGTCTGCCCGAGTCGGTTTGAGTCTGCTTGAGTCATTGAGTCTGTCTGAGTCTCATTCGATGCTGATAGCGTGGTACCTACGTTACCACGCTATCTTCTCTTCCAGTGACGTCACAGCATGCTTCTTCCTGGCACGGCGGCCTAATACAGGAAACCTTAACCTTGAACGAAAACATTACCGGTGTGCCAGAGTTACCGATACCGACTGTCAACCCAGGATCAACCACAGGCGCTATGATGCCCCCCCCCCAATCTTGCATTGATAAGATTGAAAAATAAGCAAGGCAATGAAAACGCTTTGTAGTTAGTAAAGCATGAGAAACCATCCCAATCCATGCGACATTTTTACACATGAATCAATTAGGTGCATGTCAGGTCAGGATCTCAGGTTCACATCACCCATCAATATTTCACTGGCTAGGAAAATGGCTTGTTTGTCTTAAAAAAAAAAAAAACAATTGTTAAGCGGCATAGTGATAGGTATCAGCATTTAGTGCTCACTGCTCAGTAGGTAGGTAGGTCAAGGTTTGAGTGAAAAGTTTCGCTCATATAGCTTGGTGATTTAAAGTGGAAAACACTTTATCTCACTTTATCTTACAGCTAAATAACTTATAACACGCACACAAACACGCAAACAACAAGATTGGATTGTCTGATTGTCACATGCTCGTCCGCGTCATGGTTGTATAAGATGCGCCAGTACTTGTAAAAGTATTGTGGTGAATGCTACTACTAAAATATGTTTTACATTAACTGCAGCAATGGAAGGGTCAAGCTTTTATTTTTATTTCGACTTTTGTGATGAAACTGATGGTTGTATCACAAGAAATCAATCTGAGTTTAAAGAGAACAAGGATCATTCGAAACAGAGTTTTGAAAAGCCCAGAAAACTCTGATCATTCAATGAATTAGAACCATACCTTTTTCGCCTGAAGTATACACCGGATGGACCTCAAATGATCAAAAAGAAATTATGAATTCATCGATTGATGTTGATGATGCCCTTCATCGCATTTAGATGGAATTCATTGTAATGCACATTATAACTGATCCTTGTTTATGAATGGACCGAATGGACGAACTTCTTGATGGAGATGTAAACAAACATGTCAATGACTGTGCTCATCCGCACTACCGACGCACAACCAACCGTTCTATTTTCTTTAAATTGTTTTTGGATACTTTAAAACATATCAAAGGTTTGTTGCATATGTTTCAGTCAATAGTTTCTATTCTTACGATCGGAAATAAGCTAATTTGGAAATAGTTGAAACCAGTTGAAACTATATTTATTCGAATGATTTTGGATAAGCTTGAGGCTCCAGAATACAATTATGGCACACGAATACACATACAATATACAAGCTTTTGTGCGTTGCGTGTGTTGAAATGGGATTAATTTGTGTCATAAGGGTTTATTGGTCCATTGTGACTGACTTCAGTTGTTCTAATTTAAACCAAAAAGCTTCATTTAAGAATTCTTACCGATTGCTTTCATCGAACTCTCCATCTCGGCATAGCAATAATACCATCTCGATCTTGCACTCTGATTCGTAAACGTACGCCCACTTCAACACTGACATAATTTCCATAAATGCATTTTGGGTTTTGTTTATCTTTGATGATAATAGTGATCCTCTTGCAGGACTGGTTGAAGTTGTGACAAGAATAAATACTTAGATTTAAACTCCAGTCGGCCCTGAAAAGTATTAATCACGAAGAAGTCAAGGTAAGCGACGGCAGGTCAATGTCAATTTGTGTATATGAATGTCAGCAAAGTGTAAGGGCTCCTTGATGATAGTCTTGGTTCCCATATGTCACTTGTGCAATTAATGGTCTCATCAGATTCTTAGTGCTCATTAAATAATAGATGTTTACCGCTCATCTTGAGACTAAAGCTGATCATCAGAATCATAGGTCAGGTAGGTGCCTAACTACCTACTGCACTAGTGGTTGGTAATCTTAAGACTAAAGAGGGCACTGCCCAAATTATAAATCTGAAAAAGCTGATCAATGCATGCATGTATACTACTTGTCTAGGTATTAGTAGAGCAGACTTCACACGAAGGTATTCCAACCAAGGAGAGGCGCTTTACCTGGAGGTACTTCTTTCTAAAAAAAAACCTAAACAAACCTAACCTAACCTGACCTCCCTACAACCTACAAACCTGCAGTGCCTCTCCTAGGTTGGAAAACCTTCGTGCTCTACTAATGCCAAAGTCTTTTCAGAGTTATAGTCAATTGCAGGAACAGATTGAAGATCGCCAAGGGATGTAGCAGGGGCTTCATGTGCAACTATGTTTTTAGGCAAGCTAGACCAACACTGGGCTACTGCACCTGCTTTGATGCCATGATAACCTTATTTCCTAATTCCTAGCTCTATTATAGTAAAGTTGGATGAAAAATCGATCCTTAAATCAGGAAATTTAAAGGTGCTTTGATATAATTGCTGCTGTTAGATTTTGATTTGATGTTGTGATGAGTATATGTTGTCTGCAGTAACACACACAATAATGTACAGGAAATTCAGCATTTCCTTTAGTTTTTCCTGATAGGCTACATGTCTAGGGGATAGGAACTGCTTGTAAAATAGATACCTACTTATTCATTGAGTTATATTGGCCAGTTTCAGCAAAAAATCATCCCAGCAATCAAGCATGTCATATAGTTACCTACTTGAAAAATTTGGATTGAACTGTTATGTTTATCTGAACTGTGCATGTGTAGTTTTGAGGACATTAATGTGCCTAACTGGTTGTATTTTTCTTATTTTGTTGTATATATCATTTTTACCTTTTACAGTTATTGTATTAGCATAGGTAATCAAGACAATTATTGAACTGCATGCTTTCAGCTGTATTGTGTCTAATTCTAGTCTACCTATTTTGTTTAATGACGGTTTCTCAAATTTTGTTGTAGTTTGAAAACTACAGCTGATATTCTTTTGTGTGAGGAGCATGCTTCCTCACACCATCCTTTTTTGTGTTTTTCAGTGTCATTGGTTTCTGCTCTCTGTGTGTGGACTAACTGCAGCCACTAGGCGTGAGCGCATGCCCCGGGACAGGTGGTTGCGACCCTAACCTGGTTGTGGTGCTGGGCTGGCGTGCATCATGCATCGGAGGTGGGTGCTGAGGCAGGGGAGCTGTGTGACTGTGCTCCTCCCTGACAGCTCCTGCCTGGCTCAGTGGTGCTGTCCATTCAGGCCAGACCTGTGCAACATTGCAATTTGCTCTATAATTGATTGGCGCAAGTGTTACCTGTTACCATTCTTTTCAACAGCCAGGAGTTAACAAGTAACCATTCCACAGCTGTCCAAGCTGCCTGACTTGCTCATCTTCTCATTTATGCAGACACTCCACTCCATTCTCTAAGCCCTGATGTTAGCAATATCCATATCAGTATTTGGTTAAGGCAAATAAACAACAATTGCCATCCTACCTTGTCTCTTGAGTTGTTCTTAGTTCTGATACAGATCCACATGTTCTCGAGGACATAATGTCTAAACATGTGAGTGTCCTGACCTTAGTTGATTTTTGGCTTATGCTTTCACATATTTAATCTTTATGCAGAAAGATGTTATTGGGCATACATGGATGATGACGTTCATTGCCATTGAATTTGATCGGATATTATTATTTACTCGCAGTATTTCGGCATTATCTATAATAGCAGGTAGGTATGCATTGTTCAGCCTTGGAACAGTGTCCGTTCCCGTTATGTCCAGCCTTGTGACCGTGTCCGTTGCCCGCCCCGCCCGCGTCTTCCTGTGCGCGTCGCGCAGGTCCTCGGGCGGCCGGCTGGCGCAGGAGTGGGTGGCGTCGCCGCGCTCCGCCGGAGAGCAGCAGCTGACCCACCAGCGCGACGTGATTGTGCACCGCGACAACACCGGCTACGGCTTCACCGTGTCCGGCGACACGCCCGTCTCCGTGCTCAGCGTCAAACTAGGTGAGTCGTCAGCCCGCCTCCGTGGCCAGCGTCAAACCAGGTGAGTCGTGTAGCCCCTCTCCGTGCTCAGCGTCAAACTAGGTGAGTCGTCAGCCCGCCTCCGTGGCCAGCGTCAAACCAGGTGAGTCGTGTAGCCCCTCTCCGTGCTCAGCGTCAAACTAGGTGAGTCGTCAGCCCGCCTCCGTGGCCAGCGTCAAACCAGGTGAGTCGTGTAGCCCGTCTCCGTGCTCAGCGTCAAACTAGGTGAGTCGTGCGGCCCGCCTGGTCAGCGTCAAACTAGGTGAGTCGTCAGCCCGCCTCCGTGCTCAGCGTCAAACTAGGTGAGTCGCGCAGCCCGTCTTTATGGTCAGCGTCAAACTAGGTGAGTCGTGCAGCCCCTCTCCGTGGTCAGCATCAAACCAAATGAGCATTAGAAGAACACAGCGTCAAACTAGGTAAGCATGAGAAGGGCTCAGCATCAAACTAGGTGGAAATTAGAAGATCTCAGCGTCAAATTAGGTGAACATTAGGTCTCAGCAGCAAACTAAGGTGAGTCATGCAACTCATTCCATGCTGAGCTCAACGTGAAACCAGGTGAGTCTTGCAGCCCGTCTCCGTGCTCAACGTCATACTAGGTGAGCATTAAAAGGGCTCGGCGTCAAACAAGGTGAGCGAGGCAGCCCCTCAGCATCAAACGGACGGAGAGGCGGGCTTACCAGGTGAGCCCTACACCAGAGGGACCCTACTTGTCTGCTTTCTCGTAGACTGCAATGGACTTTGATTTTCCGTCATCGTCGTGCCTCTTTTTCTGTGTCATTCCTTCTCTACTAGCCAATTAAAAGGACGATTTTGGTTATGGGGAGCACGCAACCATATCATCCAAATAATCCACCTTCGATCTTCCATCGCATTAGACGGACGAATCTTGTTCTGTTCTTTACTACCCATGGTGCGGATAGTGGCACCAGCCTGCCAGTCTGTCTACCCCGCTTATGCAGAAACCGTCGTAGTCATGATCGTCAAGTGTCGGCCGGTCGTTTCCATTTGTGAAGGCTCTCGAGCTCGGTTTCAAGGCTGGCGGTGGGCGGTGGAGCCCGTGCGAACTTTACACCCGCCGTCTGACCGACTCAGCCGGCTGAGCGGGGCGCGTCGTAACGAGCTCTCTGCACTGTATGTGAAACCCAGAGTTCGTTGCCTTTTTCCACTGCTCGAGACTCTGGGCGTCGCCGGCGCGCGGCCGTAATTCGGTAGTATGTCAGGCTGAAAGCTTTGTCATGCAGCGGGCTGCCGTCATCCCAAACACCACGCCAGCGGACGGAGGAGCTCGCGGTGACGCACGAGGCTCGTGTTCGCTCGATGGAGGACTGTACGGAGCATCCAGTCAGGGTCGCGCCCATGCACTCACCGCCCACCGGTCGTAGAGTTCGATCACTTCTCTGAAAACGAACAATAACGCTGAATCCAGCAGTTGCAGCTGCGACGTAATAAATGTCAATTCAGACCCCTTTGACGCGGCTTACTTATGTTACCGGTTTATTCGTTCATCGATTACACCCAGCGGCCTCCGTTCGACACTGGTCACTTGTGCTGGGCGTGATACGTCGGTGACCGGCGTTGCCACTCACGGTGTCACGCAATGCGGTGGCTCGGCAGGCGACGTTTTCACTCGGTGATAAACACCAATGTTTGAGACGACTGTCGCTGTCTGTCGGTCCGTCTGTTTGGAAGGCTCGCGAAAATCTGCCGTTTGGTGGAGAGTATACACGGAGCTGGTCAGTCTGTATCGTCTCTGGGGAGTACATTACTGCCATCCACGATGTACGAACCCTTTTGCTTCCATCAGCAGCCCTGCAAGTTAGTGCCCCTTCTCGATTGCGGTGTCATGCTCGGCCGTGCCAGCGGTTCGTTGTTTATTTAATATCGCTTTGCTTTTCCACCTCCTGTTTTACTTTTATTCGTTTTTTACTGCTCTCTTTTAACTACTACCTTTTGTCTCGCTGTCCAGTTTTTTTTTTCTCGGTCTCTTACTCTTGCCTTTTCATCATTTCCGTTCATATTATTTCCCATCTGTCTGTCTCTCTCGCCTCCCTCTCATCCTCTCCTGAGGAGCCGCTGCAGCCATGGCGGTGCACCTGTACCGCTCGCTGCCGCCTCCGCCGCGCCGGCCGGCCGGCTTATATGCTATGACACCCATTCGGTGGAGGGCGCCGGTCGTTAGGGTGGCTTTATGTTGGTCGCCGGGTGCGGCGGTGGCGCCACCGTTGAGGGCGACCCGTCCGCCGCCGCCCGTGCCGCCGGCACCTGTGGCAAGGCGGGACGCACCGCCGGCGCGGTGGCCGGCGGCGGTGTCGGTCGGGCGATGGAGACGGTGGCAGGGCGCGCGAGCTGCTTCCGACGTTAGTTGAGTTAGTTGTGGGTGAGCGCTGCTCCACGTGATCAAACAGTACCAAGTTATGCATGTCTTTTATCTGCGCTTTTCCATAATGCATCGAGAGTGACCATTTTTATAAATGGGCTTGAGCTGGAAATATCTCAGTTTTCGTTGTTTGTTGCACCAGTCTTATAATTTCCGGTCGAATTTCTCCACTGTACGACGCTTTGCAACTGCACTGAAGGCGGCTCAATGCCTCGTCCTCTGCACTGGCCGTGGTCTGTTCGAACTGTGTGGCCATTATCGGGTGCTGGCATCCGGCCAAGCGGTCGGAGGAGGCGGGCGTTTCCAGCTGGGCAGTCCGGCCTGGCCCGCGCGTCGGTCCAGGGCTCCAGCGGAGGTAGTGGTCGGCGACCGCCGCTGACCAGTCTGGTACGCTGTTCGGAGGTGGTTCTTGTGGCAAATTAACCGTGAATATCCACCCGAGTATGGGAATGGTGGCCTTTGTTTAATGTTGCGTGTTGGAAGGGGTACCAGATTGTTGTTTCTCCTTCTCAGTGTTATAGACACTGTCGTGTTGGTCGTTGTGGTTGGGTTACTGTCTCACAGCTTCGCTGTTGTTATGCTTGGCTGAGATTAGTTTAGACGTAAGACCCCCGGAAGTTGTGTCCATCCGGTCGCCAGTCTACTATCGTATGTTTTGTTGCTGGTTCGTCGCATGCTCGGACATGCACGAGTTTTGGGTTCGAGAGCGTTGAGTGCAAATCAGTCTCCTCGAATCGTTTGTCCACTGGTTGTAGCGCAGACCGATGCACCATCTTCATGAGCCAGTGGATCCTCATGTTTGAACGATAATTGACGTTCATATCCTGGAAGCAACCAATTTTGGGAATTCCGCAGTGCACACCTAACGAGGTAACAGTTTATCGACACCGGTTCAAACCAGATTTCGGTGCCTTGTGACCACCGTGCAGCGAATATTGATTCCTATCGTCGATATTGCTGATTGACAGCCCGCTATCAGCACTGCCGTTTTTTAATCGAACGCACATTCATTGTCATGTCCTAATGCGTGAGTCGGCCGTTAGGGCTGTGCGTGTTTCGGCTACTGTCGCCGTTTTTTGCCCGTCCTGCAGTGGACACTGCGCACGGATCTGGCGTCTGTGCCGAGTTTCCTCCGCTACTGTGCTGTGTGTGTGAGTGTCGCGGTTCGGCCGGCCGGCGTGTGAGTCGGCGGCCCGTGCCGCTGCCGTGACTCAGCGCCTGGAGAGCGTGTCCGGTCGGCCGCCTCCGCTGACCGCGCTCTGTTTACACGGCCCGGGGGAGAGGCGCCCACGGCCGGCACGGCACCTACGCTCAGGGAGCACCCACTGCCAGCGCGACCCCGGTGGAACACACGGCCAGCACGGCCCGGGGGAGAGACGCCCACGGCCGGCACGGCACCTACGCCCAGGGAGCACCCACTCCCAGCCCGACCCCGTTGGGAGGAACATACTCCCAGCACGGCCCGGGGGAGAGACGCCTACGTCCGGCACGGCACCGGCGGGACGAACCTACGGCTGGCGCGGTTTCGGTGGGACAAACATCGCCCGACCCTGGCCCTTGGGAGGCGCCTGCGCCCGGGTCAGCATCGGTGGGAGGCGCCTACGGCTGGCCCGGTTCTACTGGGGAGCACTTATGCCCAGGAAGCATCTACGGCCTATGATCGTCCCGGCCCCGGTGACAGACTCCGGCCGGCCCAGCTGGAACACCCACGCCCGCGCCAGGCCCACTGGGACGCGCTCATGCTCGATGTGGACCGTGGCACGCCATATCGACTGTCTATGAAACACGGCTGCTCATTACTCGATGTTTTGCTGTGGGGGTCGGGAGCGACTGCAGATGAGCTGGTGCCTTATTGTCCGTCACGGCTCTGGAGCTACCCTCAGCTCATGAAGACCTGCCGGACTGCTCCCTCGCGGCACGAACGGGCGAGGACTAGAGTTCGGGCCTCTGAGGAATCGGATAGCAGTGCGATTGAGGTAGCAAGGGAAGTCCCCCTGGCCCGGCCAGGAAACGCACGTGGTCGTTTTCCGTTGAGGAAGAGTTTGTGTTTCACTATCGTATGCCAACATGCCTATCGGGACTGTATTTGGCGGTGCTATCTTGCATACAGCTCATGACCTTGTAACCTGTTGTATAAATGAGACAGGCTGCATATTGCGTCGCATTAGCTTGGCGTCTGCTCGAACAGAATCGTAGTCAAATATCTTAGATCTCTGAGCCGATACGCGGCCGATACTGATCACCCTTTCACTATCGTCTCCGCTGCGGCCGGCGGACGGACCGCTGGCTGTCAGTCAATCGGTCGGCCTGTCGGCCCGTCCCATCCCTTCTGTGACCGGCAGACGGACGCCCGAGGCCGTCTATGCGACACATCCCTCTCAGCTCAGCGCTGCCGGCCGACAGTGCAAAGGCCATTTTCTCGTCAGTAGCTCTCGCAGTGTGTGCCGGAGGTTGCGAAATGCGTGCCCGCGCGGCCGCGGGCCAGCCCGCTGTGAGGAGAATCGGGGTGTGGGCTGGCGGGCGCCCACAGAGTTATATGCGGTGACGCGTGCTGTTCTCTGGTTCACGGGGTGTAGAGATGTGGGAAACGACGAAGGAAAGTGCTGCGTATGCTATTCGTTGCGCATGGGGCCCCTGTCGATAGAAAAAAAAAAATCGAGAGAAAAAAATTGGCGTGAGAGATAGCTTAGTCAATTCCAAATGGAGCTAATTGATTGCTGCTTGGCGCAGATCAGGCACTGGGTAGTGGCGATGGCACTTCATCCAAGCAGGCTGATGTGGGTCTGTTTCATGGATAGCCGTCTGATCTGGAAGACGATCGATGTTTTATCCGATCTCTCTACCTAACATGAACCGGAGTGTAGTGATGTTGGTCTAGCCCGTCCTTGGTCCCTGGCCGGTACAGACTGGTAAAGTATGCCGCGCCTTGTGTATTTGATGGATGGCTGTCAGCACTGTGAATGTGGATAGAATGCTGAGCGGCTTTTTAACGCCAGCTCAATCCTCCTACAAACTTAGATCCGGTTATTAACTAGATAATTAAAGTCCCATATTGCTATGTCCCGCCATGCTACCGTTTGAGTTGTCATGTCTCTCACCATGCCATGTGTGTTTCTTTCGTGCCATCATCTGACCAAGCCGCCTCCTCTCCGTCAGATGGACCGGCGGCTCGCGCCGGTGTTCAGATGCTGGACATCATCGTCAAGGTGAACGGCAAGTCGGTCAACCAGCTCAACCACCAGCAGGTCGTCAGCTCCATCACCTGTGAGTAGTCGCTGGAGGTGGGATCGGGCTGATGGAGGGGGGGGGGGGGGGGTGAAGCTTCAGAGACGATTTTGTGGGCTAGGATGAAGGATGGGGCTTTCTGGGTGGGAACTTTAGGGGGAACTGTAAAATAATGCTCGAAAAATGTCTGTGGGTTTGACATGGCTTGGTTCATGCATTTCTATTCTACAGTGTAGCTGCTTACGACGTACTCAACCGTTTTCTTCCTTTGTATTCTCTCCCTACCTCAGGCCATGTGTCCCCAAAGTTCTTCCGTTACTAGCCTTCCACTGCCTGAGTGAATGACCTCCATACACAACATGGATGTTGATAGATGATAATGAGCGTAAGGGTTGATAGCGGTAATTGATCGTAAATTTGGTTTATCATAGGCGTTGTATAACCTCATTGTTACAGTGCAATCAATCCCAATCATCAACAAACCCAATCATCACCCTTTGCATCGGTGGACGCGATGTGCCGGCTTGATGTCGCTTTCTTTCTGTGTTTTCGATGTGGTGTTTTATTTGATGTCTTAGTTTGGTTTCGAATTCGCTAGACTCTGCCCGGTGCACTTCTTTCACAATGCTAATGAATGGGTGGGTAACCCGGTATGACCAGACTCCAGCGGTGCCAACAATAACGATCGGATACTGGATAGATGCCAAGGTCAATCGGTCAAGAATTGAGCTCACTCGAGTCATTTACCTTCATCGTAAGGTGATTCCTTGAGTCACTGAATGTATTCGCCATTCCTCTGTATTATTTCCATCGGTCTGCGGTATTCACTTGTCCTTTTGGCTCACCGCTCGATGCGTTTTTGCCCGCGTATGGCAAACCACGGCCTACCGGATACTGAGACGTGATCACCGCGTGGCCGTGAAGCGTCCGACCGATCGCATTTCGTGTGCTGAATCGGTCAGTCATCGACGAATGACAGCCGGCACGCAACGCCGCTTGTCGGCCGTGCTTGCGTGACCTGTCATGGCAGAACGCTCCCACCGTCATAGAGCCAAACTACACCACACGATTTACACCGCCGGACAGCGTAGGACCAGACACAACACGCCGCTCCGTGACTCAGACGTAGTTTTCCGTTATGGGACAGACAGAGCGTGGCACGAGTGTCTGTAGCGACAAGCAGCTAGCGTTCGTTGTATTGTTAACCAGCCCCAGCAGGATCTGCTGTGTATGTATCACTACAGTCGACTCTGCCTGCTGCTGCCACCTCTCGGCCGCCGCTGACACTACCCCACCAAGGACCGGTCGCCGCCGGGTCGGCTGATAGCGCGTATATGGACTGTGGCTCCGTGTCCAGGCCTGCTGACCGGGAGACTATGAGCAGTGCCACTGTCGGCGGCCAGTGTATCGGCCGAGCTGTGTCGGTGAGCGCTGTGTCGGGCTGAGCGGCGGCCTGTGGTGCTCGGTGTCAGTCGGAGGTGACCGCGGTGCGTGCGGAAGAGGTGTGGCTGGCGGTGGGTGGCGAGCAGTGACTCGTCGGAGGTACGGTGGTGTCGCAGTCCAGTGGCGAATTGAGTCCTAAAGGACTAGCACACTGGCGAGTGAAGTGTCGAGGAGAAACATGGCAGTGGCGATCTGAGTGTTGAAGGAGAAACACAGTGGCGAGCGATGTGCTGAAGGAGAAACAGGAGAAACACAGAGGTGAATGGAGCGTTGAAGGAAAAACAGGAGAAACGTGGTGACGGGCGGAGTGTTGGAGAAACGCGTTCGCTGTGTAGAACCAGCCTGCGTTGGCTGAATGCGGCGAGTAGGCTGAATACCGGGGTACCTGCTACAGTGCGCACAGCCTGGGGTGTCTACCCCAGTGTTGAGAGTGGCGTGAACCTAGTGTTTGAAGACTGGTGTGGCTTAGTGGCGTCGTGTAAGTTACCCTTGTGAGACTGGTGCGTCGTGACAGCTTTAAGAGATGCCGCGGGCCAGTGTGAGCCACTATTACAAACGGCGCCGGCCCGTCCGAGGTAAGGACCCACATATGGTCTCCACTGGGAACACACACTGATGGTGACGCTTGCCTCCATGTTGCGGCTCGTTTTTGAAGTATGTATCACTCATGCAGGTGATGTAACCGTGACACACATGATTTACAACATCCCTACATCACACTCGCCCTTTTACCACCCCCTTCTGGGTCTGTCTTTACCTGTCATCTGTGTCACTGCGTCCTGTCTCGCCGCTGTGTTCCTGTATGACCACCACTGCCCATCTGACCTGTTATCTCTTCTTCCCGTTCACAGCCAGCTCGAGCGTACTGCTAACTCTGGAGAGCTGCCGCAGCCCGCCCAGAATGCCGAACGGAGCTGCCAGCACGCCGCCGCAGCGGCCGCTGCCGCCCATCCCCAACCAGCAGCGAGAGATCACGGGGCCGCAGCCAGTGGATGTGAGTGGACGCCGACCGGGTCCGACCGCGCTTACCGAACCCCCGTCTCCGCTACTGCACCCCGCTACACCCCCCCTGAGTGGCACCCGGCGGGCCGACAGGGGTAGAGAGGGATGATAGACTGCTCGGACCCCCGCTCGTCCTATTGGGTAGGCTGGGAGAGCTGCTTTGAACTGACCCCAGTGCAGCTGACCCGGAGCCGATCGTATCGCAGGCTAGTTCTCCGAAAGGCATCGCGCCAGGGATGAGCATGCTCCTTGCTAGTAGATATCTCATGAACATTGACAGCAGGGAGAGGCAGAGAGGGAGGGGTAGCTGGGTCCTGGCGGGGTGCACGATGATGAATGCTCGTGGGAATCCCACTCAATAGTTCCCTCTTGCACGGGGTGCTTTTCGTTCGAAACCAAACTGCTCCGTCGGTTAGCTAATCCGTGCCGCTAGATAGGATGGCTTGTCAGCTAGCTTTACCTCTTGGCCCGCCGTGGAGCATCGCTGGCTTCCAGTGCCGCTGACTCCGCCGCCGGCGCCGGCCGCCCCCAGGCGGTGTCGCGGCGCCACTGGGCCTACAAGAAGTCGCACACCATCCAGCTCATGCTGGAGGAAGAGGAGCGGCACGTAGACTCCCTGCGCGCCCAGCTGGCAGCCGCCACCGGTCGAGCGGGCGATAGCGGCCGGCTGCGAACCGAGCTCAGCAACGCAGAGGCCTGCTGTCGACTGCTGCGGCAGCAGCTCGACTCGCTGTCTGGCCCGCCGGCCGGAGAGCCAGCCGCAGCGGTAAGTCCAGCTGTCGCCGGCACGATTACTGAGCTCTGCTGCATGCCGCCAGCCGCTCTGCCTCCCTCTCCTCTGTCCGAGAGCCGCACGGGACTGCTGGCTGTCCCGGCGGCGAGCCTCGGTTAACGCTGGTGTCGTGTTGTCTTTTTGATCCCGTTAATTAATATGATTTCTTTTATTTCGTTATTAACGGTTTCTTTGGACTGATGTTTGGCTAGTGGCCTGGATAGCTCCGGTGCTCTGCTCTGTGTGTTTCCTCTCAGACGGACTGGTGTGGCTGTCTGTCGCGGGACGCCGCCCAGCGGCCGTGACTGCCTGCATGTGGTCAGCGCCGCCGGGCCGTCTGCGCTCTGTTGCAGGCGTCCCCTCTGACGGCGGCAGCTGCTCGCTCCCCCACGGCCTCACTATCCCCCGCCGACACACCGCCGCCACTGCCGCAACGTAACCGGGCGCACACGACGGCCGGCACGCCGCTGTCTGCGGCGGCCGCCGGCCGGCTGGACGTGCCGCCGGCGCTGCCGCCGCGCACCTACCGCACCGACACTGCCTCCGCCGCCGCTACCGGCGGCGCCACCACCGGGGACCTGCAGCGGTCCGCGTCCTCCGCTTCAGCGCAGAACAAGGTGAGACGAAAAGGACGGTTGGGAGGGATGGGTGGGCGCAGTGGGAGTTAGGGTAGCAGGCGAGACGTGCTGTCAAGAGACGTGACTAGAATGTCCTTTGATAGGCAAAGGTACATGACTGGAGTAATTGACGGTACATTATATGTCCGATGGCCTAGTACAGCAAAGACAAGATTAATGGGGAAGATAAATGGGCCTATGGTATCCCGGCCCAATCATCTGCCACCTCTTAAAACCTGGATGATATCACATACTTTTCAAATAAAAAAGTTTCCGTGTATGAAATCAGATATGCATATTATGGAGGGACTTCGAAGAAGCTGGAAGTAAACGCCCACCACAGCTGATTATCATTGCTGTCTATTTTGAGGAAATTAGCATCGAGTGACCTTCTCTCGGCCTTCTTTCTGTGCATTCTATCGTGGCTTGCATATGAAGGAGCGGCCGGAGCTTGCTCCGTCGGCCGGCCTCTCGTTCGCCTCCCCACTTTGCCACACCCATTCCCGTGCATTATTGTTGGTCTTGGAATGTGAGCAACAGATCTCGGTCGCGGCCAAGCCGGACTGTTCAGACTCGTGCATTTTTTTTGGGCATTATTGTGGTCACTAAGACCCGTGTAGGCGCGTTATCCAGAGATTAGATGCTGACTGAATATGCCCTTCCTGGCTTGCTTAGGATAAAGGTAAGACTGGGGATGGGCAGTAGAAATACCCTTAGTTTAGGTGGAAGGTGGTGGTTTATAGTGGTGGCAGGGAACATATGAACACAACTTCAGACATGCTCTAGTCTTCAGCCAGGAACCGGTTCTACAAAACTAAACTGCTTGCAGGACAGGACATACCGTTAAGTTGAATGACAGAATGCTGGTTTCAAAGATAACATCGTAAGGATGAAAAGACACCCTTTGCATGCGCTTTAACATTTTCTCACTTGTTTTAAGTTGAAGTTATTTTCGTCTTTTTATGATATGTTTGGCGATGAGTTTTGTGCCTGAATATGGACTGTGCTCTTACTGCTTGTGTTTGCTGTTTGTGTTTGTGTTTGCTGTTTGTGTTTTGTGATCGATGTGTCGTTTTGCGTGTGGCCCATCCGCCACTGCCGGTTTTATTGCTCGGTGATTAATGCAGTGTGCAGTGGCCGGTATGGCGGCCGTGTCAGCCCGGTATGTGGATGCGTCGTCGGCCCGCGGCCCGCTGCGGCCGTGTGTGTGTGTGTTTGGGTCTGGGCCGTGATCGATTCCTCTCCTCCTGGCCAGTGGGCCGGCGCCAGGGCCCGACTGAGTCCCCACTATGGCGCCAAGGGGCAGACTGAGCCCCCACTATGGCGCCATGGGGCGGACTGAGCCCCCACTATGGCGCCATGGGGCGGACTGAGTCCCCCCTCGACGGCGCCAGGGGTGGGGAGACGCTTGCTCTCGGACCCGGCTCCTTCCCTCCCTCCTGTAACGTCTCTGGCACTGGTGAACGCTGAGGGTTTTCCGGGGGTAAGCCTGTTCTAGGGCTGACATGCGATCTTTGTGGACAATGTCCTGCGAACTGCACTATTTTAATTTTGATAAATATTTGCCATGGTCGTTGTTGCATCAGCAAATATTGAATACCCCACACTCTACACAACCTGAATTTAATTGTTATCTCATTATTGAACTGAGTATGATGTTGAGATCGGTAGGCTGCTCCATCAAATGGCTGACTCCCGACGTCGTAACGATTTCGTCGGGTGCCAACTCCGTCATAAAACTCCGCTGTTCAGATATTTGCAGCTCAATGCCGTGCTGTTCAGTAGACTGCCAAACCGCCCCACGAAGTTCCTGAGTTCCTAAGTGTTACAGCGAAACTGTAGCGTTGAACTGAGGCTCACAGCTCCCCATCCCTGGAACGGGTTCTGTGAATTGTTCGCTGGAGTTCGGGGCAGTAATGGTCCGAACGGGTGACCGACCGGTGGCTGCTGGCTGGTCAGTCGGTGGCTCTGGTGTCTCTCGGTCCGACCTCGACCGGCCGAGGCCTCTGTGTTGCGGTGGCGACCGTTACACATAAATTATGGACCCGATGTGCATGTTCAGTTGTTCCGACTTGTGTAGCGGGTCGGAAGCGGGAGGTTTAAGTTGACACCACGTGATGGTGATCTTCGACCGGGCATTCAGCAAATCAGATGATGTCAACTACCCTTGTTCACTTCATGTGGGAGTTATGCTAGGCTTTACATTTAGCGAGACCAGTTTTAGACTCACACGTGCGTTTCCTTTGACATGGAAAATGGGAAGTTATACCTATTTCATGTCACGTCCCAGTTTTGCCCATTTCGTTCGCCGGTGTCTACCCGCTCCCTGTTTTGTAGACATGCACATAATTGTTAGGATGCTAAAAAGCGCATGCAAAACAGGTTACAAAGGCTCAGATGTCACAGGCACCGCTCTTCATTGTGCAATTAACAATTGTACGAATACTCGGAAAATTTCTTCCATAACGGTGTGACTTCTATTTATTATTTTGAGTGTAGCTTGCCGCCAACGGTCATTCTAGTTGATTTTCTAATTCCTTCACGACATTGGCAGACATGGGCTGTCAGCTGGACGTTTCAAGGCTGCTCAGTGTACTAAGAAGGTTGTTGAGCTACGAGCTGCGAATAGGAAGATTGAAGCAGGATATGTGGTACGTTATTTGGTTCTCAAGGCATTCATGTAAGACCCAAGAATGCAGAGATCTGGCTCCTGTGATAGTTGAAAACATTTGTCTCCACACAGAGTACCCTGACGCTGACACTAAGTAAAGTTCTCCTATTTCACCTTGTTTTAAAAGGAAGCTAAGGACACATACGAACTTGCTCATTTCTATCATGTCAAGAGTTACCAGATTCGTCTACGAATCGCCGGCTCATGAGTGACTGAGCAGCTGTGTTACCCATTATTTTCCTATTACAAGCCCTGGGTTGGTTTGCGAATGTATCGGACGGACCATGACCGCCTGGATCAACATGCGAGTCAACACCAACCCCCGGAAGCCCCGCAAACGGGATCAGCTCCGGAACACAAACCTTACTCGACGAGTTACTTACATGCATGTCAGAACTGCGGTCTTGACCCTGCACTGTGGCATATGACGTCACCTGCCGACCCGGCATTGCCTGGTGTATGACGTCACCGGCCGGTCCGGGGCGGCAGAAGAGCCGGACAGGTGACGTCACCTTGAGGGAGTGTCTGCAACTCTCGCTGGGCGCCGGTCTCCATCCCGCGGGCAAAGATGCGGCGGGATGTGAGCGACGCCCTCGGAGATCTGGGACTTTGTGATTTGGCGTGCGTGTGTTAGTGATTGGTGGCTAACATTGTCGTGTCCAATAGTTATGGCAGCCTGAGCTCTATTTCAATACCACCGACCCCACGGCGTTTTGTCGCCCCGTTGCACGTGGTGCGAAGAGGGAGGGGCGCCGTCGACTGTCCGGCGGCGGCGGTGGCGTCACTGACTCACAGCTCCGCCCCCGCCCCCGCCCCGGCGCGGCGGCCCGCTCGGCGGCGGCGGCGGCGGCGGCGGTCCGGCAGTGTGGACGAGAGAGGCCGCAGAGAGGGCGGCGTGTGTGAGCGGTGTGAGGTGTGAGAGGTGGTCCGCCGTGTGTTTGACCCGCCAGGCGAGAGGGCGAGTGTCCAGCGGGTGGCGTTTCGTAGTGTGTGGTGCTATAGTGGCGGGCGGTGCAGCGGAGGAGCTGCCGGGACGACACAATGGATTTCGTGTCTCGACTATACCGGGTGAGGGTGACCCGTCCACTGGCAATAGTGACGGCTGTGGCAGTGTGGCGTGTTAGATAATGGACACCACTTGCGCCATCCTACTTGGCATGGTTCTATCAAAGAGTGTCTGTACTATTCCGGTCTTCTTTCCCCGAACAAGTGTGAGATCCATTACTGTTTGTCCGAGTGAATTTGAAGATGTAACGGTCACCTAAACTCCGTTTATTTAACTGTTCCTCAGCGCTGTCAGTCACACCTTTGTACCCCAGTATCCAACGCCGTTTTGGTTGAGTCAGCCGGTTCTAACACTCCCGGCCCACTGGAGGAGACTGACCGTGTCTAGAGAGGAGATCGCGGTGTTTACGTGTCCTCCGCAGTCGCCGCCCGGCCGTGCAGTGTTTGAGACTCTCCTGGGAGAGTGTCCTACCCCGGCGGGGACCCTGCTGACCTCACGGGGCCGGCCGCGGGGCTATCCGGTGAGGTTTTTATTTGTGCTGTTGCACCCAGCGGTTCCTTGGAAAAGGTTAGCTGGGGTGCGATAGGCTAGCTGGCCTATGCCACACGCCATACGGACTGCCAGCGGTGGGATAATTGATGTAACTGCCTGTCTCAAATGAACGAATTGCGGTGTATTTGATGAGAACTTGGCATCGGCTGTCAAGCTGTACCCTTTCCTGACATATTCGCGTGTAATTTGATCCCTGGTTTCTGTGTTGGGCTGTAGCGGGTGTTGGAGCTCTGTGGTAGCTCCGTACCTAACTGGCAGTTCTGCACCCGGCTTTACCAAACTCCGGCAGCTTTTTTCGAGCTGCGGTAACTCCCAGTTAACCCGGTTCGGTTCTGTGCTGAGCTGTGGCGGTCCTGTGCCAGGCTGTGGTAACTCTGTGCTAAGCTGTGGTAGCTCTATGTCGAGCTGTGGTAGCTCTGTGCCGGGCTCTTCTGCGGCTATATCCCGAACTACCACAGTTCCCGGAGGACCCGGTTCTGCTCTATGCCGTGCTGTGATAGCTCTGTGCCGGACTGCTGCGACTCTATGTCGAGCTGTTGCGGCTCTGCGGCTGCTCCCGGGGGCCTCGGGTCGGATATGCCGTGCTATGGTAACTCTGTGCCGGTCTGCTGCGGCTCTATGCTGAGCTGCTCTCGACGGGCCTTGTCGACTCCGTGCTCTTGTCGACTCTATGCCGCGGCTCCGTGCCGAGCTGCGGCTGCTCCCGGCGGGCTCGGGTCGGCCGGCCCTTGTTCGCCGGCGAGGATAAACAGCGGCGCAGTGTTTACCTGAGCGCTGTGTTCCGCCGACCGCATCTGACCTGACCCGCCGCAGGCAGGAGAGTGTGTTATAGCGACCGACCAGCCGACCTACCGACCGCCGACCGCACGTGACCTGACCCGCCGCAGGCAGGAGAGTGTGTGTTATAGCGACCGACCTGACCCGCCGCAGGCAGGCAGGAGTGTGTTACTATAGCGGACAGGCCGACCGCCGACCACACCTGACCTGACGCGCCGCAGTCAGGCAGAGTGTTACTATAGCGGACAGACCGACCGCACCTGACCTGACCCGCCGCAGGCAGCAGAGTGTGTTACTATAGCAGGCCAACCGACCGCGCCTGACCTGACCCGCCGCAGGCAGGAGTGTTACTATAGCGGACCGACCACACCTGACCTGACCCGCGGCAGGCAGGAGTGTTACTATAGTGGACAGACCGCGCCTGACCTGACCCGCCGCAGGCAGGAGTGTGTTACTATAGCGGACAGACTGACCCACCGCAGGCTGTGTTCTAAAGCGGGGTCACCGCTTTCGCCCTTCACTCGCCTGTCTATGTGCAGAACGGGCGGGAACTACGTGGTAAACTCTTTATGTACCCATTTCTGTGAGTTTTGAAACAATGGTTTTGTCTCCCTCCCCCTCCCAATGGCGTCATGACATCACGTTAAAACCCTTAACGATTCCTCTCATCCGCTTATGTCATGCCTCGCCTGTAAGTGACATGTGATATGTGTAACGTGATGAGTGATGACCTATTTATGACATATGTCGACCTGACCTGACCATACTGTACCCCCCCCCCCCCCCACCCCAACGCCGATCTAACCCTGTCTACGTCCCACAGAGCACATCGCCGGCTCGCGCGGCCGTCTCACCGACCCACCAGCGCACAAAGTCCTCACCGGACCCCATCAGTCTGCGAGCGGCCATCGCCAAACGACGCGAGAGTGAGTACCGAATGACATCGCTGGCCAGTGTGTGTGTGTGTCTGCGTGCGAGCGGCTGGTGTATGTTCCAACCGAGCTACCTTCCACGATGAATGATCACTTGATGACATATTATGTGGGGTGGACAGTGAACACTTGAACGATCTTCTGAAATCACTTCGATTGCCGCGGTGGAGCTTTGGTAATTGGTTCATGAGACCGCGTCAAGCGATTACAAGTGCAGTCTATTTTGGTCTGTTTGTGGTATAGGACCAACCATAAATACCTGTAATAGCTATCGCCCTCGGCCTGGCACACACCTGTAGTACCGTATGGGCGTCTGTATCCTCGCCAGTGTGGGCGCTCTCCGGGTGCCATAAAGGCGGGTCGTATGACCGCCTATCGCCTGCCCATGACAGGGACCGATTAGGAGGGTGGCGCTATATTGACTAGCCCCCATATCCAGTGGCGACCGAGTGTCTCAATGGGCTGGGGTCGCGTGGGACATCGGTAGGGGTATGAGGGTTTACAGGTGGTGAGGGGAGGGGACTGGGGTGATGGGATAATGAGCTTTGGAGGGATGTTGGACGTTTAATCCACGCTTTTTAGGCCGCTATCGTAGTACGAGGGCGGCAGTTGATACCCTTTCCTGTCGTGGGTAGGGAGGAGGCTTACACCAAAATCAGTTGATCGTCGGAACTTGATAATGATGGTGCCATAGTCGATGGTTGAGTCAATTGAGCTCTCTTGGAGTGCCATGGTGAGGATGACGGCAAACTTTCGAGGCGCCTGAAGAATGAATTAGTGGATCGTCTTCCCCGCGATATCCCGTCCCAAGCCGTCCTCGCTTCGTATCATTCCCCCGGTCTAACCCGGTATCACGGCGCTGGAGGCCGCGGAAATCCCGGCCTTCACCCCCCACACCACTGATGTGTCAGCGTTACCGGTACCTACTGCGGCTCCGGCACGTCCTCTGTTGACCCGCGCACGACCTGGTCGCCGCTCAGCCGTCGCTCGCTGTTGACCTCATGGCCTGTCGCCCGGCCGTGCGTTCCGTCATCAGACGGACGGCGGCCCGGCTCGGCGCGAATCACAGCTTCCTGCCGCGATTCGGCCAGGTCGAGGGCGAGCCGCGGGTGGAGCCGGAGATTACGGAGGCGTGGTTTCGCAATGTGCTAACTACCGGAGCGATTAACGTCCGACGCCGCTGAGCTTACTGACGACCGCAGCGCGGAGATGGGCCAGGTGCCGGTCGCAAACGGCCGGTCTTCAGTCTGAAAAACCGCCGCCGCTGCCGTCGCCGGCTATTTGTTGATTCTGGTTCGGTTCTGTTTGACTAACGCTGCTCGAGTCGGTTTGGTTCGCTGCCGACCTGTCGGCGAAATGAGGAGGAAATTATGTAACGAATGGTCGGCGCACTACGAGGCGGACTGTGCTGCGCTCTCAGCGGCTCGCTTACCTGGCCCGCGCGGCCCCCGGCCATGAGAGCAGCTCTGTCCCCCTACCATCAGCTGGGGAAACTGCCGTGCGTACCATGCGGCCGGGCAGTGCCAAGCTGGGAATTAACCTGGGCGGGGCGAGGTGCCACTCGCACTTAACATAAGAGGATCTAAGTGGACGCTAATTGCGTAAATGCGCTGATAATTGTGTTGCAAGCTTTGGCAATGAGATGTGTAGCAACTGTTGGCCATTTACCACTCCATCTACTCGCAGTCGCATCTCGCGTAGGTTCACCGTTGCTCTACCTGTGTCAGCAGTCGGCAGTCTCTACCTGTCTGAGCTACAGTGTGGATGACTCACATGAGCGATCCGCAGGATCCGGTGTGAGAGTCTGTGACTGAGTGTGACTGACGGGCTGCCGACACCGGTCATCCCCGGAGATTCCGGCGCCGGGGGGTCTGCCGGCGCGTGGGCGGTAGTGCCTGGCCTGGTGTCTGGTGATGGTGCCTGGTGCTTGTTCCGGTGCTGGTGCCTGGTGATGGCTGCTCGCAGCCACTGCGGCCCGGTCGGTCGGCCGGACGGTCACACGGGCGCCGCCGCCGCGCCCAGTTAAACAAACAGCGGCGCCGCGGTCCGCTCCCCGGAGCTGGCGCGGCCCTAGCTGCGCGGCGCTGGGCTGTGCTGGGCTGATCGCTGAGTGCTGGGCTGGGTTGATCGCTGAGCTGTGTTGGGCTTTGTGGCGGCGTCGGTGCTCGGTTGCGCTGGACGCCGGGCTGAGCTGGAATATACTCATAGGTGCTGGTGGTGGCGCTGAGGTGTGCTGAGCTGCTCGCTGGGCTGTGCTGGTAGCTGAGCACTGGCGGCTGTGCTGGTTGCTGGGTGCTGGGCTGAGCTGGGATATGCCTGGTGCTGGGCGTGATCCCGCGGCGGCGCTGGAATTTGCTGGGCTGATTGCCGTGCTGTGCTGAGCGCTGGATGCTGAAGTCAAAGACAGATGGTCGGTGCTGGTGGTGGGTCGTCAGTTTGTCACACAGTGACTGGGTGGCGACTGAGTTACGATAACAAACCGACGACAGACTTCGATCGGAAGGGAGTGGTCAGTGCGCACTGAAAAACAACACTGGAATGGCCAGTTTTATTCCAGATGACTCGGATTTCAGTATTAAACAGGCACCATATGGAAAATGTCTTGGAGATATTTCGGTATTCTTTCCACATATATTTTGCATATCGGCTGATAACTTCCAAAGGGATCAGCAGAAACATGCAATGCGTTGCTTAATCCTTCCCATTCGAGAGGCATTCCTCCCGTTTTGGAGGTTCCTTCCCGTTACCCTGGCGGTCAGCCATGGGCTGGTCTCCTGCTCAGCACTATCTATCACACTGCAGTGCTGTGTGGGGAACCAGACGGGGAACCGGCCGACCGACTCTGCACGGCCGCTGCTCCGCTGCGGCGGGTACCGCTCGACAAGTCGGGAGGAGCGGCGGCAGATAGTCGCTCCGTGTCGCTCCGTGTTGCGGCCGAGCGGCACTGCACGGGCAGTCAGTGTGCCCGCAGCGGTCAGCGGTGTAGTCTGTGACGTGGTGTGGACTGGGAAGTTGGAGAGATACGTGGTGGAGGGGAGAAAGGTGGAGAGATGAAACTGGTCCAAAGACGACCTTCTTATCGGCGATGTGAGTACAGTTACTGGACTTAGAAGGGTAGAGGGATGTTTATTTAATATTTAGTCTCCAGTTGCAGCATCGTGATATAACCGTGGTAGTCTGACCACCCTTATCCCAGCCCATACTCTTCAGTAATTGATCATGCTCCAATGTTATCGCCCTCAGGGAACTGCCCGGACTCCCGCAAATTATATTTTCAGAACACTGTATTTTCCAACCTGTGCAGTGTGTATGATGAACTAAAATGCTGCCGTCGTGTGCCTACTGTTATTACGTTTATAGCTACCATTGCCAACTGTACCGCAGCCTGTTTCGTTTCCCTGCTTTGCGGCGACATGTTTTGTTGCCGGCGGGTTAGTCAGCCGGACATGCGCCCACGCCGTGGTGCTGTCACGGACCGGCGGGCTGGGATGTCACCCCGCTCTGTGCCGGTCTCTGCTGACCTATCGGCTGGTGACCCATCCACCCGTGCAACGGGCATCAGCCGTGGTGGTGGTCAGCCGTTCTGTGGGGTATTGTGGTTTTCTGCACGGTAAAGCAGCACGGGTGAAGTAATCATATTTCCAAAACTGACAACTTTGCTGAGTCCCAACATCAGCCCAATGGTTCTGTTAACTTGCCACTAACATTCCTCACCGGCACCTGCCCCCTAGTGGCCGGATCGCGGGCTGTGCGGGGCCGCCCCACCCGTTACACGACTGTTCGTCCAGTCGGTCGCCTCCGGATGTGGTGCGGTTCCTCGCCTTGTGGTGACTTGTCAGTCCTCTGTGGACTCCAGCCCCGCCTCCTGTCTGCCTTCCTGCGGTCCGACCCGCCTCAGATGTGGTAGATGTTATGTCAACGCCTCTCCGTAGAACCCTACTGCGGTCGAGGGGCTGGAAGGTTCGCTGTCTGCCTGTCCAGGTGTGACTTGTCAAGAGATCGGACGAGGCGAACAGCATCATGGATGATCTCATATGAGGTGCGCTACCAATGCTGGAACGTCTCAGGGTCGACCACTCATCTCATGGAACATCCACAGTGACGTCATCTGCCGCGGGTGGTGTGACGTCACTAGTTTAATAATGGCTATATGACGTCACCTATCGCGGAGCCGTATGACGTCAACGGCAATGAAAGTATATGACGTCACCGGACACAGAGTCATATGACGTCATCAAACAGCCCTCCTGGTAGAATAGCGTGTGGGTGCGGTGGCCCGACTCCCGGGCTGGCCCCATCTCCATGAACGGGCTCAGGAATGACCGGCGAAGGTCACGTGACCCGGTGACCTTTGACCGCGGTCGTGACCGGCGCGCGGCCATGACGACGTGACGGGCACGTCCGTGAGTCATCGCGCGTGACCTATGCTTCGGCCGGCCCCAAACAGCTGTATGAGGGATCCCCTGATGTCCGATCGGCGCCGAAAGCGGCACAGAGGCGAGAGCTCTGAACGAGCTATGGGGCTTCTCTGTCAATATCTCACCGAAGCTATGAGATGTCGCATTATATCACTGGTTACGACACCGCGGCGCCGTTCCAATGACAGCTCATGAGTTGGATGGCTCTGAGCGGTTTCCCACTTTGTTTACGGCTGGATTTTATGTCTCTCCACGCTAGGTGGTGAGAGCGGTTTACGCAGCAGCTTGTAAGAAGGACCGACCGAGCTGTGAGCCGTTTTCCCTCATGTCCTCGTCACGTGGCATTGGCTCGTGAACTGGGTGTGTGTGGGTATGTGCCGTGTGTGCAGTTTTCCGCGGTGTGTCTGGCTGCCGATGTCGATACATGACAGCCGGCTGGACGGACAGCCCTACCCAGCGACCTGGGTCTGTGTGGACCAGTGTCCGATCTGGCCTGGAGCAGGTTGGTGCTCAGCCCGGTTTGGCCAGACTGGTGGATGGGGTTCAGTGTGAGGTGTGGTGTAGAACAGTCAATGA